GAATGTTTAAGCATGAGATTCCGTGAGCTGGACATCAAGAACGAAGCTCTCGAATATGGGGCTTCAAATTTTGCGATTTTGAGTTTGGTGCCAGAAAATCGCGGAATGCCGCTAGCTAGGAAAAAAATCTGTAGAATCTACTTACACAACAAAAGTCCATATTTTACTTTGGAAGGCTTTGATCTTGCACGGTGAAGCACAAATAAACAATTCGTGAAATATGTCATTTTGCGAAAAAAATCCCCTCATGTCTGCAGTTTTCCGTCGAAAACACTTTTTTACGATCGCGAAAACGTCGCAAGGCTCTAAATAGGCACTATGTCTAATTTCTGGTTGCAAACTGCGTTTCTGTGGAAAAATTAGAGCGATAAGGGGATTTGTCCTGCGAAATGAGAAATTTCACAAATTTTTTGTTTTCGCGTTTCCATGCGAGATCAAAGCCTGCTGAAATAACGTATGGACTTTTGCTGTGTAAGTAGATTCTACAAATTTTTTTCGGCTAGCTAGCGGCACTCTGCGATTTTCTGCCACCAAACTCAAAATCGCAAAAATTGAAAGCCCCATATTTGAGAGCTTCTTTCTCGATGGCTAGCTCATGGAATGTTGTGCTTGAACTTCCATCATGGAGCGTGAGACTTCTAATATTTTTAGCATACAAGATTGTAAATTTAGGTTTAGTCTTTGAAAAGTTATTGATTTTCGTTTGAATTACGCAAGGACTTTCGTGCCAACCTAATATATTAGGTTGAACCGAAAGTTCTGTCCCTCCATTTTCAAAAATTCGTAACTTCGCCAGATTTCAACGGATTTGCTTGCTCGTAATTTTATTAGAAAGAATAGATCTTCCGCTTTCAAGCCCTGTTTTGCGGAGCTTCTGTTTCACACTGAGTCCCGAGATAAAAATGGAAAACTAAGACCATGTAAAGTTTGACCATTTTAAGTTAGGTCACCAAAAATCTGGAATGCTGCAGAAAAATCTGAAATCGTCAGTACATATGTTTTTTGGCCTACCCTTTGCATCTGTGAAAAGTTTGTGTTGTTTGGACATCTCTGTGAGAAGTTATGAATATCGAGTTTACTATGGATAACGCCAAAATTAATTAATTTGGCAATTTTCGTGAAAATCATAACTTCTCGCAGAAACGTCCAAACAGCGCAAACTCTTCACAATTGCAAAGAGTAGGCCAAAAAACATATGTACTGACGATTTCAGATTTTTCTGCAGCATTCCAGATTTTGGTGACCTAACTTAAAATGGTCAAACTTTACATGGTCTTAGTTTTCCATTTTTATCTCGGCGCTCAGTGCGAAGCAGAAGCTACATAAAACAGCGCTTGAAAGCGGAAGATCTATTCTTTCTAATAAAATTACGAGCAAGCAAATCCGTTGAAATCTGGCGAAGTTACGAATTTTTGAAAATGGAGGGACAGAACTTTCGGTTCAACCTAATATATATATATATTAGGTTGAACCGAAAGTTCGTTCGCACCATTTTCAAAAAATCATAACTTCTTTCCTTCACGACGATTTTGCGCAGTTTAGGTTTTGTTAGAAAGCGTAAAGCATGTGGTTTCCAATGGTCCCCTGGCGACTTTCCAGCAAGTTCAGGTTGCAGAGATAAAAATGAAAGAACGAAAACATCCGAAATTCGGAATTTTTGAGAAACAATTCCAAAAATCTAGAAACTGCGCGATAAAATCCAGAAAAGCCATTATCCTAATTTCTCCTATATTTGATTACTAACTGAGTTCAGTTTGACCTGATCGAGCTTTTCTTTCAAAGTTATGATTTTTTGAAAAAAAATCCGAAAAATCACTTCCCTAAGAATTCCTAAGAATTGATTTTTCGGCATTTTTTTCAAAAAATCATAACTTTTGAAAGAAGAGCTCGATCAGCACAAACTTAACTCAGTTAGTAATCAAATATAAGAAAAATCAGGATAATGGCTTTTCTGGATTTTATCGCGTAGTTTCTAGATTTTTGGAATTGTTTCTCAAAAATTCCGAATTTCGGATGTTTTCGTTCTTTCATTTTTATCTCTGCAATCTGAACATGCTAGAAAGTTGCCAGGGGAGCATTGGAAACTACATGCATTACGCTTTCTAATAAAATTTAAATTGCGCAAAATCGTTATGAGGCAAAGAAGTTATGATTTTTTGAAAATGGTGCGAACGAACTTTCGGTTCAACCTAATATATTAGGTCGTCCCGAAAGTTTGTCGGGTTTTTTCAAACCACTATAAAACCATGCACAATAAACACCTGAATGAGTTTCAACATGTATTCGATGCAGCTTTTTCTTCTCTTTCTTGTGGTTACATTACCGAACCACAATCCTGTATGCTTTCTTTGATAATTGCTGAAATTCTTCACCCGTCATTTTTGTCTGCTCAAAGTTCGGCTAATTTTTAAAGATTTCATTTCAAAGATTTTAGGAAGTTTAAGTATGATTCTAATAGAGCATTCTCGGACTACAAGAATATATTTTTAGATCCTCCGAATCTGCTGTTTTTAGGCCGAAAAAAATTATTTCTTAAGAGGTCTCGATTTTTGGCAAAGTCACGAAACACGCAACTGCAGCAAAAACATGAAAACTTCTCAAGTTTTTGCGAATTGCAACATGATTCTTATTGAACACTCTTTATGCAACATTATCCAGTTTAACTTGCTACAAAAAAGCAGCTTTTTAGAATTTTCGGTACTTTTTACGTGGCAAACATAATCAAAAAGCCGCGGATTTTATTAAATAAATAATTATAACGGACTTGATAAAGTGACCCACGTAATCTAAAATGGGTACAATGTAGCCAAAGCTTTGCTCTACATAACAGTTACCAGCGCTTCTTAGAAATATCAGGATAGAAATTTTTAAAATTCACGAAAGGTTTGCCGTTATTGTTGAGCTGCTCAAAAAGCCATGGCGATAACATTGCAAAGACAGGGTAGGTCAGAAAGCAAATACAGCTGTAAGAAAGAGGATAAAAATTTAAATCAAATGGTACCTAGAACGTTTATGGACTGATGTTCTGTGAGTTTTGGTGAGCGATGAAAGAAACCGACAAAACTTTCGGGACAACCTAATATATATATATATATATATATATATATATATATATATATATATATATATATATATATATATATATATATATATATATATATATATATATATCAGCTTCCGCGCTCGGGGTGCAATCTCCTTCGTTCGCGGCGCGCGCTGCCTCTTCCCTTGAGTACCCCACGACCGATAATGGTTGGTATGCCCTATCTATCTTTGAGAATTTATGGATCCATTTCTATCACACTTGAAATAATAAAAGTATCAGTTACCAGTACGTTACCTCTGCTTCGCAGACGCTCGCACTGGTCCTACTATCTATGTGCCTTCCTCGGAGTCGTAAAATGATGCCTTTGGAACTTACCGCGCGATCCCGATCATCGGGAATGAATTGTAAACAACTATTTATTTCAGAAGCTTTCTTTGAGGTAAGGTAGGTGTCTTCGAAAGGAGAAAAGTATTCTCCAGAAGATTAATTGCGGGTTTGAATCACTTCTGGAGTCTAATGGCTTAATAGTCGCCAGAGAGACATGGTTACCGCGAGCTAGATCTCCGAGCAAAAATTTCCACAAATTCTCAGGTAAGGCCTTGCCAAATCAACCATCTACGCATGCATTTCTTTTTGGCGCCATCTTGCGTGAAAGCAGATTTTTTGCTCACTTTCTAGGTTAGAGTCCATGGTTTGCGGATTTACTTGTTAGAAATCTACGATTTTGGAAAAGTTCAATTACAGGCCCACTTTGGCGCGCCAGAAGTCGCGTGGATCCGTTTGGCGCACAGTTTTCACATGTTCCACTGAACGAATCGGTTTGTGCTTTTGTACAGTTTGTCTACATGCTGATACAGTCTATGACCAAAGTTCTAGCTCAAGACCTTTGCTGGAACTCGCTCTACGAATTTCGTGGCAGACAGATGTACACAGAGACACACAGACAAACAGACGTAAACAACCCTTAGCCCGTTATTATTAAGTCATAGATCGTCAAAGGTTCCCCAAGGTTATGTGAATGAGGGCGGCGAAGCTCATTTCATCTTCGGAAGTATAATAGACAGGAAGAGGAGCGCGGAGTTTTGCACGATAGGATTGAACATGAGTGCAAAAGTCTGGGTTTATGGTGTTTTCAGCTCAGATCTCCACTGCCAAAGCACCACTGCAGTTTGTTGGAACGGGGCCGAGATCGCCGGCTAGCATTTTACGTGTCGGAAGTGTCGAAAAAGGAACAAATGTAAGGGTCACAAACAGTAGTTTGGCAAGACTGAACTTTTTGAATCTGATGGTATCATACCACAGCTATGAAAGCAGAGCAAATCTAGTCGCGCAACAGATCCTCCCTCCCCCTCTTCCTGCCGAAATGCTTTTAAGCTTTTTCGAGGAGTAAGCCGATTCAATACGCGCTCGAACGAGCTCGAAATTTACCCTCTTCCCCCTTTTCCTCCCGCCTTCCACCGTGGCGCAATGCTATAATCTTTGGAATGTTTCACGACGACCCTCCAATTTCATTTGAAAACTGTCACACTTGTCCATTTTGGATTGAAGAGCGGTGAGAGGCTCGTTTTCGCCTGCAAGTCAAGGTGAATTTGCGGAAGTAGCACGTCGACTAACTCGAAGCAAGTTAGTATTTTTTTGCTTAGAGCGTTTTACGAGTCACCGCGTTCACTAATGAATTGGTAGATAAACCCATCGCAACAGCGAGCGATTCAATGTCTCAGGATTAAAATGCAAATTAGAAGATGCTTTTGAAGAGTACTCTTACTCGCATTCAGTCTACGTCACTCTTGGCAAACTGTATCTGTAAATAATCTAAATAATCTGTGTAATTTCTTGTTCCACCCGTCTCAAACTTGTCATCTTTGTAAAGATGCTTTGAGATAGAGAAGGTGTATGTTTGTTTGCTGAAATCCTGTTTGACCAAATCAAAGAAAAATCGTGACATGTGACTCACCTCTTGAGGACATCCTGGGAAGTTTACGGGATCAACTCTATATATTTCAGGTAGCGTCATACAACTTTTCTTTCTTACACACGATAAAAACGATAGCAGGAGCAGTGTAGTTTTCAGCATCAAACCATCGGCTCTACTGAGACGTTGGCCGGTTTAATTGCAAATGAAACATATCGCTTAACTCAAACTCATTTTTGGTGATGGATAAGGAAGCAAAGTATAGATAAGAATATCCTTCAACGTTTCTGTGATTGGAATTAAGTCTCATTTCAGAGCAAATTCACTCTGATGGGCTGTGCATTTATACGAGCAGTATATGACCCCTTAATAAGATATATATGAGATCGACTGGCCTCATCAATAAAAGTCATATTTGTGAATATGTGCGAAAATCTGAGTCGTGGCTAGGTCCTTATAAATTCAGGTTCAGTGGTGCAACGTCCTTCTAGTCGATTACATGGTGTACTCAAGAGTTTCTAATTTTTTGAAATGAGGAGTTTTGAAATTGATCTCGCTGTTAAAGGCAGTGTCCGGGCAAAAACTCGATTATGAGATTTTGTGCTTACCCGGGCCTATTCGCTATGCTGAATCCGAAAATCCACATTGGAGGGCGCGAAAACGACGAAGAAGGGTTCTAACACTGGAGGGAAATCAGCAAGTGGGCGGGGTCTTCCCGACTGTGAATTCACGCTTCCAGCTTCCAGAGCAATTTTCTCGAATCCGTTACCCGACCTGACATCACTACCGATCAAGTGCAAACGAATGACTTGAAACCGAAATCAAAAATATCGTCCCCGAAGCTGGGAGCGTGAATTCACCGTGGGGAAGACCCCGCCCACTTGCTAATTTCCCTCCAGTGTTAGAACCCTTCTTCGTCGTTTTCGCGCCCTCCAATGTGGATTTTCGGATTCAGCATAGCGAATAGGCCTGGGTAAGCACCAAATCTCAAAATCGAGTTTTTGCCCGGACACTGCCTTTAACACTAAGTATGTCTGTCCTGATGGAGCTTTGAAAATTGAGCTCTTCGCCTATCAGTTCTTAATAATAAAGCGCTAACGTCGTTTCTTTTGTCTGTGAGTGTGAGCTCAAGTTCTCCTGAGCTCAAGTTTTGCACAGCGCATGCTACCCGCATGAAAGTACATCACGCAAAAGCACGAGCAGCTTCGTTGAATAGATCCCTCAGAATTCCCGCGTCAAAAAGATCCACTCGGCTTCTGGCCCGCAAAACTGGGTCCGTACTTCCACTTTCTGCAGGGTCGTGGATGTGTTTGGCAAGTAAATGTGCAACCCTAAACCTAGGCCCAAAAGAGTAACCAAAAGTCTCCTACTTTACAAAAACGCGGAAAGAATGGGTTGCGTAAAAGGTTAATTTGCCAAGGACCTGAGCATTTGACAAGATTTTTGCACAAAGATATAGTTCACGGTGATTATTGTTCTCATGGCGACTACAAAAACAATGAAAAATTCAAAACCTACCCAAATGTTCTTCTGCAAAAAGTTTCATCCACGCAAAATCACCGATTTCACATGAAAAAAGCTTTCAAAGTGAGTAGTTGTTTCCATTTTGTTCGTGATGGTTGGCATTGTGCGGTGAGTTTCAGTGCCATCATTATGCGAGATTACAGATGATTATGATTACAGATCTAGCACACAATCTATGAATTAAGATCCCTTTGTTGGCTAACGGCTGAAAGTACCCTCTTTCTGCGAGAATGAGTAGAGATTCAGATAGTAGAACCAGTTGTGAGCGTTCGGCGATGCAGAGGCAGCGCACTAGTACTTTTCGCGTTTCGGAGCGGTGCTGCACGTGGTGCAGCACGCGCCTTAGAAAGATCTTTTCAACGTTTAAAGGAGGTTTTCTTTTTGTCCAAGGTTATTAAATCAAAGGCCTAAGTTCCTCCTTTTCGAAAGGGTCTGTAGAGCTGTGCCGTCGATATTTGTTCAGAAGATATGAGGACAAATCGAACATCAGTTGCAACGAAGTGAGGCAACGCGAACGACGCGTGCGACGCCGCAACTTTCCTTAGCTTTGAATACAAAGAGAAAAACCCTAGTTCCAATAATGATGTGTATCGTGTAAAATATAGATACTTTTTGATACAATTAGAAACTGAGTTCTCGTTTCTATCTTCCAAGAAAGCACAGAAGTCCTTCTCAGAAGACAAATTTCAAACACTTCGAGTTCACTCAGAACTCTGGGTACGGATCTTATCTGACATGCTGATTACAGATGTAGCACACAATCTACGAATTAAGATCCCTTTGTTGGCTAACGGCTGAAAGTACCCTCTTTTTCGCCGCGCGCGATTTCGAGGTCCGAAACGTGTTGACTGAATTAGCTCCCACTTTTTGTACTCATTACAAAGCACTACTCCAGCACTACTCCTTACCTTACCATGAAATCTACTTCAAATAGCCCTCAAACTATGGAATTAATAGCTACAATATCCCGTTTGTCCCACTCTGCACTCGCAGTGGTTGTGCTTCCAGTAACTATTGCTTAAAAGATAGAAGAAGAATTCATTACTTTCACAGAAACTACGTGACTTTGGCTATCGAACCGTGTACAATTTGTTCCCTAATATTTCCTTCGAAGGTAAATTAATGGGGTGTAGCACAGTCCTTGAAAAGCGGCGCTACACCTTTCCAGACTGGTGCCACACCCCATTAACTTACCTCAAAACCATCCAAATACCTGTGTTTTTTATATCATCGCTAGTGCTTAACCTTCTTCTTTATGCTGCAAAAAGTTCGATTAAAATCGTTTCTTTTAGGGAAAGATATATTAGTTTTTTCTTACCTATGCAAATGGAAGATAATGCGAAAATATTGGGTTACGGTAACATGCTAAGTCTACGCTACAACGGATTCGCGAGGGAAGGCGAAAGAATGTATATATTTGGTAGTCTAAGCCTCGTAATTTATACTAAAGTGATTTGAAGCTGATTGGTCTCCTCTAGCCTGGGGTATTGAAAGCGAAAAGTGGAACAGACGAGATTTTGGTTTGCTCTTGATGCCATAGTTTTAAGGCTGTTTAGAGTGGGATTCTAAGGTGAACAAAGAAGTAGTAGTTTTTTGCATCAAGTGCAAAAAGTGGAACAGAGTTTGTTCGAAAATGATTATCTCATTTAGGTGGTGTAGTATTTGGAAATCCCGGAATCGCTGAAACTTGACCCACAGAGGTTATTTGCTATGATGATTGCAAACACAGGGTGTCCCAAAAGTATGTATGCACTGTTTGATCGTTAATATCTTTCTTCCCAAGAAGTTTTTTGCCTTGCTTCAGGTACCATTTTGTGGAGCTGGTTCAATGGAGTTACTATGGCGAGAATCACCGACAGTTCTTCATTACTGTAGAATTACGGTAGAAACTCGAAACATATGATTTCAATGTGGAAAAGCTGCCACTTCAAAATTTTTCGAAAAAATGTGAAAACTTATGTAAGAGGGTTTATATGGACGCTGAGTTCAATACTCAGCTATCCCTAAAATTGCGATCCTTTCTAAACGGTATAACTGCACTTTTTAGGAACATTGAAAAATTGCAGTCACTTCTTACCTGGCATAACTCTTCAATGAAGCATCATAATAAGTTGGGAATGTTACAGATAAAATCAGCAACTCTAATTAGCGTGGAGCAAAAGTTTTTAGGCTGTTTTGTTTCTTTTTTGAGGCAAAATATGGCCTTTCATGGCTCAAAACCCTCCTTGAAGTTTCTACCTTAATCCTACAGTAACGAAGAGAGATGGATGATTCGTTTTATACTGAGAATCTAGGTAAAGCCAGCTTTACAAAGTGGTACCTAAAGCAAGGCGAAGACTTCTTGGGAAGAGAGATATCAACGATCAAACAGTGCATACATATTTTTGGGACACCCTGTATTATGCTCTTATGCAGATTTTTTTATAGATTTTTTATTATGCTTACTGACGCATACGATGTGGGCCAAAACATCAATGTGCTAGTATTTACATGATAACCCTATCTGACATTGTTAATGAATGCATGTTATCGCTAATATCACAATCACCTTGATAATGAACCCCCTCTCTCTCTCTGACCCCTCAATACGACCTTCAGGGGTGGCACGCCACACCCCCTCGACGTTGGTCATGACCAGGGTCAAGCGTGGGGTGTGGCACGCCACATCTGTGAGTCGTATTGAAGAAGTTAGGGAGAATAGGGGGTCGCTTGATGTAGAGAGAAACTGCATAAAAAGAGTCCCAGCGCCTGCTAAAAGTTTGGCTCTGACTCACTGAAAGATTATTTGACGTTCGCGGAAAATTTTGTACTGCTGCCCGATGGCAGAACACGGAATTACCGCTCGCTGAAGTTTTGGCCATCCCCCAAAATCTTGCTGAGAACAGAAAAATGCGAGTTTGCGAACCGCCTGCCTCCGGCGATTATCTAGATAGGAGCTTACTCTTTTCAGTAGGTTTTAGAGTCACTGGGCTTCACACTGTGGTGTAGGGGCTCTAATCAGCTTGCAACAATTACATTTAGTGACAAAATAAGCCTTTCTAAAAAAAAGTTGTTTGGCGCTCGGAAAACACTTGCACTTACTGCATCTTTCCTCCAAGTCTCAATGGTGAAATGAAGATAGCGCAATTTTGAGCTCCAAAATCTGGCTTTTGCTGCCAGAAAAGTCCTATGTGATGAAGTGAGCACATAGTTTTGACAATTCCCTAAAGTCATGTGTTTAGCTAAGAAAGAGTTTTGCAACTCTGAGCATTAGTTTCGCCCACACAGCCCTCATCCCAAAAAGAACTACGTATGATAAAATCGTAGCTTGTCTTGCATTCTAACTACAAAGCCTCAAAATTAGCTCTAAAAATCAAAAAGTTTAGCACTGATATAAATTACACAAGCATTGCAATTTTCTTATTGCAAAGCTTTTGTGAAATAGAAGCAGAGATTTGAGGCTAAAAATTGTACGAACTCTAAGGTAAGGTTGAAGTATGAATGAAAATCGCAATGTTACACAGTTTTTCTTCCGGAGTCGAAACAACATATCATCGAGGAAGCTTACTGTGTAATAAAATTAATGTGTAGTAAAAATTAGTAGATGTGCTTTTTTTGGCAACAAGTCAAAAAACTAGAAGCATTGTTCCAAACTATTAGAAAAAAGACGGTTTTTCATCTACGAGACTA